GTTGTGCGAAGAGCTTTGGCGTCTTGGTGGGTCGGAAGATCTGGGTCAGTGACGGTTCCGCGTTGCCGGTAGTGACGGCGCGATGATGGTGACAGCGCAGAAAGAGCGAAGTCTAAGCCTGAAGGACGCGCGACACCCGGCTTCACCTGCATGCGCCAACAAAGCTTTTCGTATAGTCGCCTGGATCCGGACAACGGGCGCGCAAAAAGGTGAATAAACACACGTGCGGATGGCGTGGGATGGTCGTAGCGGCCGATCAAGGCCACTCGGTGGACAGCAGCACCAGCAGGAACAGGCGGCATGACATCACGTCCAAACATTTGCAGTGTGGATCTAACGGAAGGCGCCAACGCGGGAGTTAACTTGGTCGGGTTAATTCGACGGTCTTGAAATTGTGCCTGGGCGTTCTTGGGCGACTCTTTTTCTGCCGAGGTTGCGCGACAGGGATCACAATCCCATGCCTTGAAACATGGCAATCTCCCCCGCCAATGTGCGTGCCGCTCGTACACCACTGGACACGAGATGCTAACAAGAAACGTGGTACATTACAGACGTGGCGCCACTGCTGAGATGGTATGGATGATTCGGCATGTTTTCAAGTGCGATGCATGAAGCCAATACAGCACAGCGATCGTGACCCTATGATGCAGCCCTAAGCGTGTAGCGTCCCGACCTATCCGGGCTGCTCTGCATACTCTCCGGATGCGCTATGGTCGGCCTCTAGCAGCAGCCGGCTGTCGATCCGCAGATGCTTTTGGAAGAGTTCGAGCAAATTTAGCTAGGTCGTTGCCGCTTCTAGTGCATGATGGTGACCGCGTTGTTGTAGGGTCAGATGATGCTTGTACCTAGGTAAGAACCACCGGAGTAGGCCAGCGCATCGAGGTGCATTTCGCGCAGAAGAATGTGGTCATGGCAGCACGGGCAAGAAAAAGTCGATTATCTATGTGGAAGCTTTATTGGAAGATCCCGAGCTTCTAGCTCAATCGCAGTTCGCACCGTGCTCGAGGGAAGAGCCCTGCCAAGCTTCGCGATGATGCGAATCATCGCCCGAACCCCAGACTGTACAAGGATGCTTTGACAACGTCCTGCGCCCAGCCCGCCCAGCCCCGTCCAGCCTGGACCATGTTCAAGATCTTGATGAAGGTGCGGTTCCACTGATCTTGGTCCTCCCAATCGTCGGCATAGGGCTCGAAAATCGCCGTTTCGATACTGCCAGGTGCGCCGGGCGTAACCAGATCCCAGTCGCCATTGTCCTTTTGACGCACATGCATCTTGGGTCCTATAACCAGCGCCCGACCAAGTATGCGAGAATCGGCTACGAAGCGCGTACCTGCGTCAACGACATCTTCCACCTTGCCCACGCCGCCTCCCGCGAGTATGAAGCGCGCACTGGCGGGCACGATTGGTGTATCGATGAAGTATGGACAAAGCAGGTTCACGCGGATGCCTTGAAGGCCGCTTGTCACCCTCAAACTCCTGAAAAGACCAAGCACCGCGTGCTTTGCGGCACAATATTGGGGTTGTATGGCAATGGGGCCGAGAGAGGCGATGGAGCCAAGCAGAAGGATATGGCGATCGCGTGGGGAGGTAGTGGAGGGCTTCGAGCTCAAGCTGCAGTCTCTGGAGCCGGGGTTCTTGGGCAGCCAGAAGCAGGCCAGGTGAGTGGTGTATAGCACACCAGTGAGGTTTACGTCCATGATCTTGAAGACGGGTGGGGGTGGTGCAGCCGCATCGAGGTTTGCAGGTTCTTGGAGGACGTCGCGACCTGCTATGCCTGCATTTGCGACGACCGTGTCGATACCCCCGTGCGGGCTCAGCTCGACTGCCCTCTTGAAGAGGTCGACCTGCGACTGCCAGTCCGTCACGTCGCAGTGCACGAAGTGTGCTTTGCCGCCGTTCTTGCTGTCTTTGTTGATATCACGGCAGAGCGCGTCTCCCTTCTGAACACTGATATCTCCCACAACGACTGTAGCGCCATCAGCTACCCATTTCCGCACGAAACCCGCACCAAAGCCACTCGCTCCTCCCGTGATGAGTACGACCTTGCCCTTGACCCAGGCTGCATCGTAGGGGACGGTGATGTCGATAGGCGGCGACTGAAGGACGTTCGGTTTCTGTGGTTTGTAGTCGTCCATTGCAGTGGTTGTCGCTGAGTGAAGGTGTTTGAACAAGTACTATGGGGAACTATGAGGGTGAGGCTGTGTATGGCTCTTATATCGTGAGGTACCCGCATGTACGCCCGTGGAGGTGCAGCAACTCTCACCTGGCGCACTAAGGAGAGCAGCCTCGGCTCGCGAGCATACGGTCGCCCATCCACCTAGTCGAGTGGGAGCCCGCGGCCATGATAGGCTGCCCCAGTGTTGAGCTTGTCGCATTATCCATAGTCTGCAACTAAGGGGAGAAATACGACCGAGAAGTGCACACGCGAATGCGAGGTCGATCAGCCGCCAGACATGGTCGTGGTAAGATGACATGGGCGACGTCCTGAGTGTCCACACACGAGCTGGTGGGGTTGTCAGGCTAGCGCTGCTGTGCCTGAACCCCTGCCGAAATTTCCAGTCGCATGCATCCCCGCCTTGCAGACAAGTCATACATTCGCTGCTCCTCATCCACGTCCTCTCCTCTGGGCCACCTGGGTACTAAAGGTCCGAAAGTATCACGACCAAGCTATTCCCGATCCATCGCACCATGGCGGCAAAACCTCCCGCCCTCGACGTGTCGGCCACGCACATCGTCGCGACGCTCTTCTACAAGGCCGACACGCCCAACTTCTTCCAGCACGCCGATCTGTCGCCCCGAAGTCCCGGCGACCCAATTCCCTCCGCCTCGCTCGAGTCGCTGAAGGACGGCGCCGTCCCCACCGAGAACCTCGCAGACTACCCCCTCGAACCGCCCACACCTGGGCCCAACGCCCGCGATAATCTCTACGGAAGCTATGTCAGCCAAAGCTGCCTCACCGAGTTCTTCGTCACCCTCACCAGCATTATAGCCGGCTTGGAGCAGAACACCATAACGAGCAAGAGGCTGGAGGCAAGCAAGCTCTGTAGGGTAGTCGAAGTCACGTTCCCCTTGCCAAGCGCCTCGCCCGTCGCGCTTGAGACGTTGCGCAGGCATGAAGCCGTGTCGCGCTTCGAGCGCGAGTGGAACGTTGAGTGCGTTTTCCAGGCAGACACCATACATCGGCGCTACAAGAGGCTTGCCGTCTTCGACATGGACAGCACCCTCATACAGCAAGAGGTCATTGACGAGATCGCTTCGCTGATTGGCGTGGAGAAGGAGGTATCCGCCATCACCGCTGCTGCCATGAACGGTGAACTCGACTTTGAGGCTAGCCTACGCGCGCGATGCAAACTGCTCAAGGGCGTGCCAAGCAGTGTTTTCGAGACACTGAAGCCAAGGATAACATTGAATGAGGGTGTGAAGGATCTCATCACTGCCCTGAAGCGATTGGGCTTCAAGACAGCAGTACTTAGCGGAGGTTTCACTCCCCTAACAGGATGGATGGGACAGCAACTTGGTCTCGACTACGCCTTTGCTAACCACCTGGCCGTTTCCGAAGACGGAGCCACACTCACAGGCGAACTGACCGGTGAGATTGTGCACGCCCAGAAGAAACGCCAACACGTCCTAGAAATCGCCGAGAAGGAGAATATACTCCTCGACCAGGTAATATGCGTCGGCGACGGCGCGAACGATCTTCCTATGATGGGCGTAGCCGGTCTGGGTGTCGCTTTCCACGCAAAGCCAAAGGTACAAATGCAAGCTCCGGCTCGTCTCAACTCGAAGAGCATGCTGGATGTGCTATACCTCTTCGGTATTTCAAAGGAAGAGCAGGAAACACTATTGCAATAGCACAATCACTCGCCGTACAAAAGGTAACCATCGAATACTGTCCCGCTCGCATCATGCATAGTAATCCTGTTATTACGTGAACCAACTAGCTATCTCGATTCCTCGGTTGCGTTGCTGCGACAAGGCGCGTGTGGTCGTCTGATGCATGTCCGGGACTCAGGCACACAGCGTGGCGCAGCTTGCCCCTCCGTGTCTGCCTGCGACCCCAGCCACGGCGCCACAATATGCGATGCGATCACAGCCTCGCGGCATTATCATAATGAAGACGAAAGGCATGCACATAAGCTCGTTCAGTGTACTTTGAATTATTTGCGCATCTTCTCTGCACGTCGCTACCAAGTATCGCGTATCCTACTCGCCTTTCTACGTTCCGACTCGCCAGTAATCAACAAACGAAAGATGAAGCTACCCAATTTACCGACAGACATATATCGCCTTCTTCTTGATCAAGTGCGCCTCACCAGTGCAAAACACTTTGAATCACGTTAACATTCGTCTAGCTCTCACTGTCAGACCAGATCTCGCTTAGTCTCGTTTCGCATACATGTCGCAATCAATGCGAGCCAATTATCTTCCGCACTATCACCGTGGGTGCTTGCAAAGAGCGAGGCTCAACTATGACTGCACGCATCACCAATGGCCTGGGATGGCCTTTTCGTACTATCCCCTCGGGCAGATCCAAGAAAAGCGGACACGGTTCCCCCGCAAGCATCGTGAGCAGTCTAAAACGGAACGGTGGTAGATTGGCAAAAACAGTGCGTCACTTGGTCATCCCATCTTATCCCGGCCATAGCTACATCTCCCCCGCGACGATTCTACACATTATAGAATGCACACAAAACCTTGCATCGTTTAGTTGGAACGCCAACTACGCTATCCCCTTGCCTGTTCTCGAGACGCTGCACCGCAATCATCCTTCAGCTCAGTTAAAAGTCACGAACCACAACCGCAAGGATTTTGCTCTAGATGAAGCTCTCCTGTCATCACCTCAGCTCCACACACTCGACATTACAGTCTGGTGCTTCCATCGGGGGGCAACACGTCTGCAGGACGAAAACAGCGATCTCTCTAAACTCAAGACACTACTCATGCGGGGCCGCAACCTCAAGGTCCTACGGTTGCGTCTCAGTAAACAGCAACACTTTACCATGGCTGCGAGAAGTCAACGTAACAGCTACACGGCTATGGCCGTTGGCGGATCTCATTTCCGATTCCAGGAAACGGATACATTCCCCACGCTCGAAGAGTTGGTCATCTCCAGAGCTGATGACCTTGCGCACGCCTACGAGTTTAGCCCCAAGCACTGCAGCGATTGGGCCTACGCCATGGACTGGAGTGAGATGCGCATCTTGGACGTGGCCTCCACTTATTCTGAACACCTGCTACGAGAGATCGCTGGTCTAGTACCCAAGCTACACACGCTGAGCTTGAACCCGACCTCTATCGACCACGCTACTCTCCAAAGTTTCCTGGGAACTGTGCCACTGTTGTCAGATCTGAAGCTGGTTGCTGGAAGCACGTCGAACGTGTATGTTGGTAGCTTTGACAAAGCAGTCACGAGGGTTTGTGAAGCCATTGGACCTCAACTCCACTCTCTCCAGATCGAATCTAGATCTGGTGTGGTCATGCCGTGGCAGGATCAGAGGATTCAGGGGGTACTGGAGTTATGCCCGCAGCTGAGGTACTTCGAAAGTGTCATCGAGGGACTGGGTTCGACCGGTAAATGGGATGGAGATGTTGTTGGCAAGCCGGCTTCGTACAAGCGTGCATTGATGTCATCGACTGGCACTAGGAAATCAGGTATGTAATACATTTCTCCTCTCAAATGACGGGAGACGATACACTGCTAACGTACCTGTGTAGTCGATCCGTATGCGTCATGCTGTGGCACTGGTATAAATGTACCACCTGAATGCGTCCCCCGGTACACAGCTCTGCCCCCAACATAGCGGACATCCAAACCACACGCTTTGGCCATCTCCTACATAATCCATCGCGCTTTGCAAATTCCTAGTCTTTTCCAAACACCTTAGCCAGACCTTCTTCCAACTCATGCTCACACGTGCATGGCGGTGCTGATATCTGATGCTCTGTGACTCGAGCCGGCTGAGTTTGAGACAGTCCGACGTTTCTGCAGCCCTCGCAATACACCCGTACTACGACCTCTTTAGCCTGCATTCGATGCTCACAAGGCCGCAAAGCGTCAAGCACAGCGTCTTTGAAGACCTGAATGCACCGGAAGGTAGGCGGCGATGGTTTTCCACGTGACAAGTAATATCTCACAAGGTCTGTGGGATCGGTGCGAATCTTGACCTTGAGATGGAATGTTTTTAGATTGGGGAAACGCGTCTGCCAGTTGGTAGAGCGTCGAATTGCTTGTAAAACAGCACCTTCACGCGTGGCATCTCGGCCTGGTGTTATTTGAGTGGACGCAACCAGAACTCTCCAAGCTGTATCCATATCGAGGTTTTGATCATTAGGTCGCGATGTATACAGATTGAAAGTGACTTCGAATCTCCGGATCCACTTACACGCATAAAGTGGCGGGAATTTAGGAAAGAACGGCGAGAAAAAAGGAACCCGGGTGGCGAATCTGTTGCTTTTATAGTCTGCCTCTGTCAGTTGTTCATTTAGATATGCAGAGCCTAGTTGATCAGATCCCCGTTTCACTTACAACTTTCACGGGCGATCGCGGCCAGCTCTGTGTTGCCACAGCGCAAAACTGGTATCAACAAGCTCACCGCTTGGTGACTGGTGTTCTTATCGATAGGCTCGGGAAAGGTAAGGGCGTGACCGAGGACTTCTAGTTGGAGTTCAGTAGGTAAGTCTGACCATGGATGGAAAGACGCTGTCTCTTGAGGTGCGGTAGCGGTCGCCATACATGTGACGGTGGTGAGTGGTTTCAGGGCGAGAAAGTCATTGTGAATCTGGGTGAATGGATATTCGTTTGTTAATCTCAAGAGCATTTGCTATTCACAAACACCTTCGAATAGTCTGGAAGCGAGTCATATCGCGGCAAGGATCGTGTGGCGCGCGTGCAAATCCCACGTAACAAGTGATGTGAGGTTGCTTTCACCTCCACCTACAATGCGGTTCACTACTACCAGCTCGGCCAGCGACTATGTGAAAACACCCTCCATGTAGCCGTATAGACCATGTCATCCATCAGCATATCAATCGTTCCTTTCCCCAACTCACCAAGCTTACCTCACCGATTCTACTCCACAACAAAAATGCCCGATCAAGTCATTACAACCACGGGTTCCGCAAACTCACTAGTGCAGGCCGAGTCGGAAGACTCAATCTTCGTCCAATACTGGAATAAGCTTCCAGCAGAGCTAAGAATAATGGTTCTGGAGCAGCACCTAACCTTCCCAACTCCAATCACTTACACAAAACACTGGGCCCTAATGAAGTTACGCCTCCTTCCCCTACTCCGTACAGATTTCGCGACCATAGCAAAAACCGCATATTACAATAACAACGTCTTCCAGGTCACAGATTATACGCTACATTACGGACATCGACCATCGCTACGTGTCGGGAGCGAAATCCGCCACTTGGAATTCCGGTTTCAGTCAGTTTCTCGTCATGATTACGGAGGCTTAGGTCTCCTCTGGCAGCCGGCAAACCAGATACCAAGGAGTTGGCAGCAGAACATCCCCAAGCTGAAGACTTTACGCATCGTCCTTGATGCGCGTGGGTATTGGCGTACCACAATGGATGGATCCCGAGTCTGGGTGGACGCACGGATTACGGGGGAGATGCTGGTATGGTGGGAGAGAATTCTGACGGAGAACGTGCTGAGTCTTACGCCTGAAGATATTTCCTTTGAGATCGAGGCGGAGGGATGTCCGATGGCTAGACCTGAGAATGTGTATCATGATGAAAGCAGCTGCACTTGTAAAGAGGATCTGGAAACGAAGATTAAAGGGTGGATGGTAAAGAAGTGATATGGCAACAAGAGGGAGAAGATGCTCTACTGGCCTGGATGTCATGTACTTCCATACTTCTAGCTCTTAATGATAACCCTGAAACGACTGCTATGGTGTCGATGCTGATACGTGACTAATGTTGGTGATAGCTGCCTAGGAGTTGCCGGAGTGGTAAGCGATTTTGGAAGATACTCTTTTCGGGGGTTTCGCTGTTTCTTGCCGTCCGATATCATGGCCATAGGAGGTCAGAGGAGCGATTGCTTGGGTGATGTTGGGTGCTCCAACGAATATGACCGGATTCCCGAGCTCTAGTGCGGATGAGTCAGCAGCAAGCCCGCACGCGTCATGTCGCGTCGCGTCACTTCCAAGGTTCGTTCATAACGAACACCTGCGTCATCGGCATGTTTCGGTGGATCTCGCAATGACACCTAGAAGCTGACAAGACAACACATTGAAATATTTGTATGTATGTAATTACGCAATTCACTTCACTGACCGCGCGAGACCAAGCCCCAGTCTAAGTTAAGCCGCATCCCCATCTTCGATATGACACTCTACTCTTTCACTTCCTCCTTGACGAACTTACTCTTTCCCGCAACCTTGACAGCCAACAGCCAGATACTAATATCGCTCATGATATCCACAGTCCCAACGTCCGCTCCGATAGCCTTCGAAAACCAGTTCCGCATCTCCACCGCGACCAACGAGTCCACGCCGTACCGATAGATCGCCTTCTGAGGATCGATGTCGTCCTTGCTGACAACCAAGAGACTGGAAAGCTGGTTCTGGATCGCGTCGACAACGATATCGGTGGCTTGAGCGAGGTTCGTGGCCTCTGAGAGCTTGTACGAAGGGCGATTCTTGGCTTCGGCGGTCGCGGTGTCGGAAGAGAAGCGCGAAGGGAGCGTGTCGAGATGGTGGTATAGCGGCCGCGTACTACCGAGAGGTGCCACGATACCCATGGCACGGAGATCAGCCGGCAGGGTCAAGGGTGTGATAATCTGGGACCCGACGGTGCTTGCATCGACGCGTTCAGGGTCACAGCAGAAGCGTAGCAGCTTGTAGATGTCGCTCATGGGCACCTCCTCCAGCATACCCCGCACGCGGAGCAAAGCTTGTACTTGCTCGTTCTGAGCGACGTAGCCGACACCGGTGACCATGCTCAGAGCGAGGGTGTGAGCACGTTGGCCGTGACGCATACGATGGGCCGCTAGTTCGTCCTGGTATGTGTTGCCAACGGTGTAATTTGATTGACCGAACGAGCCCATGATACCGGTAGAAGATGACAACATGACGAAGAAGTCGAGATCGGCAGGTAGAAGCTGGTGTAGATTCCAGGAGCCGTCTACCTTGGGCGCGAGTGACTCGTGCCACTTCTCGCTCGACATCTTTGCGAAGGAAGAGTCGCGCATTACCATTGCTGCTTGGACACACCCCTTGATTTGTGGAAGAGCTTGGAATGATGCAAGGGTCGCCTTAAGCTGGTCATAGTCGGCGACGTCGCATACTGGAGCATACACCGCGGCGCCTTGTGCCATCAGTCCTTGCATGAAGTAATCGCGCTCAGATCCAGTACCCTCGACTGCTGATCGTGACGGCAAGATTAGATGCTTGGCTCCATTGTGTACCATCCACGTCGCAATGCTCTGGCCGATACCGCCGAATGCGCCAGCGATAAGATAGCTAGCATCCGAGTGGAATAAGGGCTTGTCAGAATCTGGCGAAAGTTCCACCTCGACAACGTCGTCGCCGTCCATCTCAATGACTACTTTTCCAAGCGTCTCTCCATCTTTGAGCGACTGGAAAGCCTCCTGAACCCTGCTCTGGTTGAACACGGTCGGAGGTAGAGGCATGGTGATCTTACCACCTTCCATCAGTGATAGCACATCTGTGAAGATGCCAGCAAACAAATGGCTCTGTGCTAGGTCCTGGAAGTTGACGCTGATGAAAGTAATGTTCTTCGTTGTAGGAGGTACCACAATCTCGTTTGAGCCATTCGCGGTCGAGTTGAAGACGTCCTTTTCTCCAACGCCAACAAAGCGTCCGAACGAAGCGATACATGGCCAAGAATCTTGCAAGAGTTCTTCAGAGCCTATCACAACATCGACACCTCGTCCTCCTGTCAAACGGAGGATACCATGCTGGAAGTCGAGATTGCCAGTGAGGAACACGTTCGACGTCGGAACGTTGAAGTTCTTCTCCAGGAAAGCCGCTTCTTCAGGTGTACCTACAGTCGCAAAGACTTTCGTATATCCGTGGAGAACGGCGATTTGGATGATCGCTCGGCCGAGCGTGCTAGCAGCCTCGTGGACCAAGATGGACTCGCCACCCTGTATACCGACACACTGCTTCAAGCCGTAGTAGGCCGTACAGAATGCCACTGGATAAACAGCAGCATCGCAGAAGCTCATACCGTCCGGCATCTTGTGCAGTTGTGAGAACTTGCAGCGGGCAATTTGCGCAATGCCATCTCGTGTGACACCGAAAACGCGATCACCAATCTGGAAGCCCCCGCCGTCTGACGAGCCAATGCGTACCACGACTCCAGCGATCTCGCTTCCAAAGGTCTCATCATGGACCTGGCCAAGTGCTACCGAGACATCCCGCATATTGAGTCCAACAGCCTTGATTTCAACGACAACATCATCCAGCTCAAGCTCTCCAATGTTGTCGGAAGCCTGCTCGTAATGCAGTGTACTTAGGATGCCTGCCGCGCCGATGGTCAACTTTGGGCTGTCAAGCTCGCTCCAAGGTTTGGTGACAGTAACTAAAGTATGTTCGGTAAGCAGTGCTTGAGCAGTGAGTTCCGGGTCGTCGACCACACGTGGAATGCAGAGCTGGCCGTCAATCTCGCAGTACTCGTCCTCCGGGTC